TGTCCCTTTTCTTCTTTTTTCCTTCCTTCCTTTCTAGTTAATTTTGTGCATTTTATTTCATTTTCATTTTATATTTACTTTTGGCTTTGTTTTATTTTCTCTTGTTACAATACACAATTTTTATTTTCTCTTTGTTTTGTTTTCTCTGTATTACAATACACAATTTCATCGTCTACCTTCAAGTATTATTATACTGCTTCCCATGTAAAATAAGACTGTTATAATAATATACTTCCATTTCTTACCTTCTGTCTTTTTGCTACTGTTGTCAAATTTTTACTTCTATTTTTGTTATAAGCTCTACTTTTTTTTTTTTTTTTTTTTTGCTTTAAACAAGTGCATTTAAAAGACGTTAAACAATGAAGAAGAGTCTCCTTGGTTAACCCATACATTACCATTTACACTCTTTTCCTTTATGTCTATCTAAATTTTCATCTCATATTATTTTCCTTTCTCTTTAATAACTTTAAGATCTCTTACAGTACAAGTTTTTAAAGCTTCTTACAGTGCAGCTCTGTGGGCTATGAATTCTTCTTTTGTCTCATAATGTTGTTATTTTGACTTCAGTATCTCTGAATATAGAACTTTAGGTTGATAAGTTTTTTTCCTGTCTGTATTTTGAAGATGTTATTACATTGTTGCCTGGATTGGATATTTTCTGGCAGGATGTCAGTAGTCATGTTTCTATAAAGTAACTTTTTTCTCTGGATGCTTTTAAATTTTCTCTTTATCATTAATTTTCAACAACTGAATTATACCCTGGTGTGGAGCTTGTATACCATTGTCTGATTGGGGTTTTTGTGATTTTCTTAAATGGGTGGGTTTGTGTTTATCAGTTTAGGAAATTCTGGTCATTATTCACATTTCTTTTTCTGTTTTGTTGTCTTTTTTGGTGTTTCTCCTTGGTACTCCAATTATACGTGGTTGATTACATGATATTGTCCCAGAAAGATTGTTAGTTTATTTCATTATTTGTTTCATTGTATGTAGATTCTGATGCTGTATCTTAAAAGTTATTAGTCTTTTCTTCTGTAGTGTATTATTTGCTGTTAATCTCTCCAGTTAGAAATTTTCATTTTATGTATTGACTATTTTATATCTAAAATTTTCATGTCACTCTTTTTCTGTATCTTCTATTTTCTCATACTTTTTATTTCCATTAAGTTCTTACACAGTTCATTTATGTCCCTGTTCTATAATTTCTGTCATTTCTGAATCAGTTTCTGTTGGCTAATTTTTTTTTTCTGAGTATGACATATTATTGTTATCTTTGTAATTTTTGAGAAGTGGAACATTATGAATGTTACATTGTTGATTGTCTGGATTTTATCTTTAAAGCATGGCAGGCTTTTTTTTTTTTTTTTTTTTTTTTTTTTAAATTCAGAGGTAGGGTCCTGCTTTGTTGCCCAGTCTGGAGTGCAGTGATGTGATCATAGCTCACTGTAACCTCAATCTCCAGGGCTTATGTGATCCTCCTACCTCGGCCTCCCATGTATCTGGGACTACAGGTGTGCACCACCACACCCAGCTAATCTGTAAAATTTTTTGTAATGATGGAGTCTCTTTATGTTGCCGAGGTTGGTCTTGAACTCCCAGCCTCAAGCAATCCTCCCACTTCGGCTTCCCAAAGCACTGGGATTACAGGTGGGAGCTGAGCCACTGTGGCTGCTCAAGAGTGGCAGGCATTTAAGTTATTTGTGGATTCCTTTGAGAGTTTGTGCTTTTTATCTTTAGCGTTAATAGGGTTCATCTAAAGTACCTTCTACTTGAGGGATAGTTTAGCCCTGTTTCAAGGGTGTGACTGTGGGAAGAAAGTTGCCCAGGTGCCACGGCAAGAGACTGAAGGCACAATCTGTCCCAGTATAATAAATAACTGATTTACTTAGTTATAGCAATGACACCAAATAGACTTAGATACAATCACATAATTATATACTCAATCTTATTACATTATTCTCTATTATTAACCTTTGCTTTAGTATTACAGTGTAGGAACATTTTTAGCCTTATATAGAAATAATCGGGTGACATATAATTAGGAACTGAAGGGACATTGTGAAAAGTGATCAGGAGTCGAGAGTAAAAGCCTTGCAGTAGCGGCATTACTTTGCAGGCTGGCCTTGCAGGAATGCCAGTGCCTGGGGAGGCACCCGTTGCTTAGCAGGCTGTGACGGGGAGTTTCCCTTTCACTGGGGAGTTTCAGAGAAAACTCTTCTCTGCTGGCTCTTAAGGAAGGTCTGACACTAGCCAGGCCAGCCCACAGACATCCAGGGGCTTAAAAACCTCTCCCTGGTGCTGTGCTCCGATGGTCACCATCCTTGTCCACTTTCATGTTCCACTTTCCCACTCGAATACTCCCTTGTAAATTCTGAGAAGTAAGAATTAGAGGAATCCTAAAAGCCTTTGATCTCTCTGATAAGTGCACAGAAAGATACAGATGTAGGTGCCTCCCCTCCTTGCAGTGGCTACCTGAGAGGGAGAGGCCCTCTGTACTGTACCCACATGACCCCCTGAACTGTACCCACGTGGCCCCCTCATAAGAATGTGATTTGCTTGACCCCTACCAATCATGTCAGATGAGTCAGTCTCCTGACCCTGTGCCCCCGCTGCCTTGTATGCAATAAATACCAGCGTGTCCAGGCATTCAGGGCTACTGCTGGACTCCGCCCTTTGATAGCAGTGGCCCCCCAAGTCCACCTGAATTCTTCTCTTATCTCTGTGTCCTTGCTTCTTTCTTTTCTACGATCTATTGTCTCCGCACACAGAAGAATACCCATGAGACCCTGCAGGGCTGGACCCTGCATGTGACAGACTCTTCCACTGAAGGCCTAGCTAATGACCGTCTGCTTTGTCTTTCTGCTTATGAACCTTGGAAATTGTTCAGCTTAAAGTGCTCCTTTATCCATCCTTGTTGAATTTTACCTTATGCATATTCCTAGAGCGGCAAAGACTCAAGGACATTGACAGGCAGATTTCTGGAGCTTGTTCTTTGTGTAGCCTCCCTTCTCATCGGAATTCAGCCTACAAGCTCCAGCTATCCAATCTTCTTAAACTCTAACTTAATATCCTCAATTTAGCAATTATGTTCTCCCTCTGCACCTGCTGTCAGGAAGGGGCCTTAAGTTAGAAAGCTGGATCAATTGTAGGGATTACACTTTGGAGATCACAGTCCTGCACTGTCTGTGGTCTTGTATCTGACAACATTCTTTTCATTTATTTTGCTCGGTTTCCTAATTGTTTATGATTGGTGGCTAGAAGCTATATTACATATTAATATCTGGTATCTTAATTTGCCTCCCTCTTATTGGATGTTTTTTAAAAGTAAAGAATATTAGAATCAGTTTGTCTTAATTAAAAATATCCTAGTTGTATGTAATGTTTTTATGTTAAGTATAGATTAATGTAGGGAGAACTGATATCTTTATGATGCTCAACCTTGATAGCCAAGTAAAGTAGCGTGTATCTTTATAATTTTATCGTATTAAGCTAGTATCCATCTATTCCTATTTTGAGTTTTACCAAAAACTGATGTGTACTTTGTCTTTTTTTATATGTGAGTAGTTCATCAATTTTTTTCTTTGATCTATTAACATGCTTATAGATTTTATGTAGATTTATACCTTTCTGATATAAAATGAATTCCATAGTACATTTTTACTTAAAATAAGCTAAATCTTATATGCTGATGCTCTTGGATTTTTTGCATAGATACTTGATTACTTTTGATTACTTCTAAATTCGGATTCCAGGCCCTCATTTAGAATCTTTAAATAGGCTTTGAAAGTTTTGGAAGTGGAAGAGTTTTCTGAATGCATGAGGTAAATGCATTATTGTGATCCTTGATTACTTTTAACACTAACATTTATTTTAATATATTAATGTTCCTATCTTTGAAAATAATTGGTAAAAGAATCATTTTGTTACTCATTTTGCTTGTAAGACAGGCACTTACTTTTTTGGTAAAGAGAAATAATAGGCTTCTCGGCTGTGTGGGTGGCTCACGTGAGCCTGTAATCCCAGTATTTTGGGAGGCTGATCTGAGAGGATCCCCCACTAGGAGTTCGAGAACAGCCTGGGCAACATGGTGAAACCCCATCTGTACAGAAAAATACAAAAATTAGCCTGGGCGACAGAATGCAACCTTGTCTCAAAAAAAAAAAAAAAAAAGAAAAGAAAAGAAAAAAGAAATAGGCTTCCTTTTATTCACTCCTTTTAATAGACGGTGCTTGCTTGTGTTATAAAATATAGATGAGACCTGTTTGTTTTTGGTTTTTTGGGTTTTTCTTTTTTCTTTTTATTTTTTGACAAGATCTCATTCTGTCACGAGGCTGGAGTGCAATGGCAGTCTTGGCTTACTGCACCCTCTTCCTCCTGGGCTCAAGCAATCCTCTCATTTCAGCCTCCAGAGTAGCTGGGACCACAGGTGCAAGCCATCTCCCCTGGCTTATTTGTTTGTTTGTTTGTTTATTTTGTAAAGATGGAGTCACCTTATGTTGCCCACACTGGTCTTGAGCTCCGGAGCTCAAGCGACCCTCCCAAAGTGCTGGAATTACACACATGAGTCACCACACATGGCCAAAGCCTCTATTTTTATGACCTTGGTTTATCAGAAAACAAATTTAACCACCCATATCAGTATAGAACTGTCTAATTCAGGCTGGGTATGGTGGCTCATCCCTGTAATCCCAGTATTGGAGGAGGCTGAGACGGGAGGATCACTTGAACCCAGGGGTTTGAGACCAGCTTGGAAAACATAGTGAAACCGTCTCTACAGGAAATAAAAAATTAGCCAGACTTCGTGGTATGTGCCTGTAGTCTCAGCTACTCGGAAGGCTGAGGTGGGAGGATTGCCTGAATCCAGGAGATTGGGATTTCAGGGAGGCATGATTGTGCCAGTCTATTCCAGCCTAAGCAACAGAGCAAGGACCTATTTCAACCCCCAACAAACTGTAATTCTGTATAACTCACTCAGTTACATGATATGTTTTTCCTTTTCATAGGTTCAGTTTAATATGCAATTTACAAAACCAAATGCATTGCTAGGAGATGTTCAGTCAGAAGCAGTTATTAGTATGCCTTGCTCAACTGATAAGGAAAAGTAAGTACTTAATGACATAAAATTTAATGTTTGCAATTTTGAAGGCCATCTTAAAGAATTTTTACCAGTACTTGGGAGCTGTGATACCCACCTGTTTACCTGAGAGATTTCAAGTTACTGATCATTGGAATTTAAGTTGAATCACTCTTAGTTATAAAAAAGAGATTTCTCTTTTCTGTTTCCTCCTTCAACAATCTACTCATTTGTTTTTTAATATGGGATATGCTTAGACAGTAAAATTTTATTTGTTCAAAGAGATTCTCCTACATAACTGAAGATTGGGCTTTTAAATGTTCTCAGACAGGTTCATAGAAATTTTTTAAAAGTCCTCATGGTCAGCTGTTTTTGTTTTCTTAATGGCTGTGTCTGCCCCTGGAAACTCTCCATTTTTCTGATGTATTGCTTTTGGTATAATCTAATCTAAAATACCGGCTAATGTGCTAGAAATATATAGAGAATATGAGTAAAAAGGTTTGTGAGATTTTCCCATAGATAAGCTTTAATGCGAATTTGTGACTTCCGTTCCCTATTTTTTAGTCTTAAATAGGGTTTACATAGTGAAGTGTATTGATTCAGTGACTTATGGTTAAATTAAACCACTCAATACAGGTAAACTTTTCTCTCTGGATAGACTTCATGTTTGTAATTTATTATTACTAATGTAGTTAATTTACTTAAAATTTAATGGCTTTATGGCCTGTCTGTTGATACTCATTATCATGAGCTTTCATCATTCCAGTTCTACATTACAAACTAAATTACTGACATAGCTCAAAGATGGTTCTTATCACAGCTCTCTAGCTTTTATTCATTGGATCATGATGTGTTAAAATAGTTAATGTTTGTGGCTGGTCATAGTGGCTCACATCTGTAATCCCAGCACTTTGGGACGCCAAGGTGAGTGGATCACTTAAGGCCAGGAGTTCAAGACCAGCCTGGCCAACATGGTGAAACCATGTCTCTACTAAAAATACAAAAATTAGCCAGTAGTGGTGGGCACCGGTAATCCCAGTTAGGAGGCTGAGGGATGAGAATTGCTTCAACCCAGGAGGCAAGAGGTTGCAATGAGCTGAGATCATGCCACTGTGCTCCAGCCTGGGCGATAGAGCAAGACTGTCCCAATAAAAATAAGATAAAATAATAAAATAAAATAAAAAATAATATTTGTGAGCCTCCATTTAAAGAAAAAATCAAAAGCTGGTTGTTTACAAGGGAGAGCACCTTGAATTCCTGTTAATGGTAGCATATCTTAATGTTTAGTATATTAAATTCTTCATAGGCCAGGCATAGTGGTGCATACCTGTAGTCCCAGCTACTTGGGAGACTGAGGCTGGAGGATCACTTGAGTCTGGGAGGTCGAGACTACAGTGAGCCATGATCATGCCACTGCACTCCAGCCTGGATGATAGAATGGGGCCCTGCCTACAAAAAAAAAAAAAAAAAAAAAAAAAAAGCCAGATATGGTGGTACATACTGTAGTTTCAGCTGCTTGGGAGGCTGAGGGATCACTTGAGCCTGGGAGTTGGAGTCTGTGGTAAGCTGGTATGAGTCACATCACTGCACTCCAACCTGGGCCACAAAGTGTGAATCTGTCTCAAAAAAAAAATCCTTATAGACAGAGGAGTTTTACTAGCAGAAAATATGACAAAGATATTTGTAGTACAAAGTCAAATATAACCAACTGTCCATAAAATTAGCACTGTTCAGTGAGTTTGAGTCTTCTTTTTCTGGTTCTTTTGTCAGCTGGCAAAAAGTGGCACTGGGTATCAAACATTAAAGAAAAAAGTAAAATAGAAAAAGTCTGTTCACCCACTTTTTTTCTGAAAATTGATTAAAGAGCAACCATCATTTAATTTAAAGGATTGATTTATTCTATTTTGCAAGAGACTTTAACTTGTTATTACAAGTAATACTAGGGAAACCATTAACACTGGACAGATTTAGAAAGGATGGCAGTGGTGGAAAGGAAGCATACAGAAATGCCTTCTTTCTCCCCCAGATTGTCTCATTTGTATTAATTTGACCATAATGTATTATTGTGTGATATGTGTTACTATTTGGGCATGACTAATTTGAAGCACTAGAAAATTGTGAAGAGCTTTTGGTCAAAGGAAAAAGAAATCTTATTTTAAGATAGAAATCAGTAGTGTTATTCTCAAGGCATGTATTTTTCTGTCATGTATCACTTTTGTGCTAGTGTTTACATTTTATGGCACTTGAAGAATTTTCATTTTTCTCACTATCCTTATCCCAGCTCTTAAAAGTTTTAGTTTTTTGTAATCTACTCTTTACTGAGGTTACTTTGGTTTATGTTTAAATTTGCTTAAGAAGCCAGTGAAGAATGTGACCTAAACAAAACTGTTTTAAATATACGTGTATACGTGAGATAAACCTTCAAAATTAACTGATAAATACTTTGTTAAGGAAGTTATTACTGTTTTTTGTTTGTTTTTTTAAGTAGTGAAAATTTGGGGTTGGAATCCAAATACCTGAAGAAAAGGGAAGATAGCATTCCTTTACGAGGACTCAGTCAGAACCTATTTAATAATTCAGGTGAGCAGGCATTTCTGGATTTTGTACTCTATAGTTGAATTAAATGTAACGTATGAAGACTTAAGGAATACTAGTAACCTTTTTTTGTCCTCATCTGCAGACCAACAGAAAGATGGCACATTAGGAGCATTACAGACATCTTCCAAACCCACTGTGCTCTCCTCTGCATCTTCAGCATATTTCCCTGGGCAGTTACCAAACAGTTAATTCTAGTGTCATGTTTTACTTTTTATTGGTATTTTAGAAACAGGTGCTTAAAAAGATATGTCAACACAAATCAAATCCTAAATAAGCAAGTTTTAAATTTTACTTGAGCTGTTAGACTAGATCCTTAAATAAGTTACAGGAACAAATTTCTACTTGGGAATTGGTAAAGATTGTGAGTAAATGACATTTTTTGGTTTGTGAACATGGTGTTTTATAGAATAATAGTATGAATTTTATTAAGCTAATCTTTAGAAATTCAGTTCTAAGGAAAGAGTTGATCCTTATAAGGGAGATTCTAATCACATTGAAAATCCGGGTAAACTAAAACTTGCTCATAATCTTATACTATGCAACCAAAGAATGCTAATTCATTTCATCACTTTCATTGGTAAAATAAAACTTAAATTCGACATCTGAAATTATGAGGGAAAATGATTACCTCCTGCAATATATTACTGATGACATTTACATTAAAGGGGAAAGTCCTAAATTTACCTTAAAGAACTGAAATGAATTAAGCCTTCATAGCATTTTTTCCTTAAAACATTTAAATTTGCTATTAATAAATTTGATATAAAAATAATTTGGACAGCGTATGTGAGGAGATTAAGTAGAGGTTCTTTAGTCATTTTAGCTGACAGGTTTTTAAACTTCAGTGCTTCCTTAATGTTTATACGTATCTTAATTTTTTTCCATTTGGAGTTTTATTAGTTATGCAGCTAAATCTGTTAGTGGAATTTTAAAACTTGGTACCATACAAAATCTATATCATGAATATTCGCTTATTTATTTTTATAGTGTCAGAATTTGGGTTGATTCCAATGTTAATAAACTAGGCAGAGCAAATAACCAGTTAGAAGGTACAATTTTCTTCTCTTCCCTGTATCTAAAAGTTTTAAGAATTGTTCCTTGGGAAAAGTTGATTTTTAAAAATTCTCCTAGAATCATAGGGCCTCATTTTGTTTTCTTATTGACAAATAATACCTGGTAGCATTCTCTAAAGAGTCTTCTAGATCAGTCTTTGTAAAGTACTAATGCTCATGTCACAATTTTAAAATTACTTTCAAATACTTTCTTACACAGATGAAGAAACATTTCAGGATATTAAGGATGTGATAATGATGTTACTGCGTTCCATGTAAGACAAAGAATCTTTACTTTTTTTTTTTTAGGAAGCCAGTTCGAAGTGTCTTTAATGAGGGATTTAATCTGAAAATTCTGTAAATAATGTTAGGCAGTGATACTCCCTCGTGTCCTCTCCATTTAGATATACTACTGTATTAGTGAGAATACTTGGTACAATAACTTGAAAGCACTTGCTATTAAGGAAAGAAGCCACTTGGTGATTTTGGAAGGGATTTTGTTGTAAATACTATGTAATATATATAGAATATTGTGACAGATTTTGGATGGGATGCACGATATACAGGTAGCTCTCTCTTATTTTAATATCTCTTTCCATATATGTATCTCACACACACACACGCACACACACACACAAGGAAAGCTGAATTTTTACAAAGATAGGATAGAGATCATTCTGATATTAGCTTGCAAATTTTTTTGTATTAAATGTATATAGACTTCCAATGTGCTAAATCTTTGCTCTACCTCTTAAACTTTTAGTTGAAATTGTTTTGCAGTGTAAAATTGTACATGTGTTAATAATCAAAGTGTTGCATTTAATGTTATTTCTGTAAACGGTGAGCTTTGTTAATAAACTATTAAAATTACTTTTGGGGTATGACATATAAGAAGTATATTAAGAAAAAAACAAGAATGATTTATAGCATCTACAGTAGAAAATCAAGTACTTGCAGCTAATCTGCATGCTGCATTTTTGTTTCTTTCCTCTTGTTTTCCTACAGTTTTTTAGGGAAAAGAAATGGATGCAAAGCAAGAATAATGCTTTGATTTGTTACTGTAAAAATGATTCTGGTAACAAAGCCAAAACAGGCCCTATAGGAACTCACAGATCAAGACTTTAAAAAAAAAAATCATTAAAATATTTAACTTTATTAACAGAATATTTACATTTCTTTTAAGACCTTATTTAACCATAGTGAGTGTTCCAAGTTTAAAAAGCATTAAGCAATAACCACACACAAGATGAAAAGTGTAAACTATACAGTACTTTATGTACAATTTTTACAAAGTAACACTTTTTTAAATAATATAACTGGACACAAAAATATACACTTTAGAGAAATTCACATCAGTAATTGTATAAAGCTCTCCTCTAGGGTCCTGAAAATTTAGGACAAACATTAGCTCTGTAAATAAAGTGTTACTGTGACAGTCCTGAAAGGCCACTATATATATTTATCTACATATAGATATCACATTTACTTTTTCAAGGCTACCAGCTTTACTATATAATTTTTAGATTATGTATTCAAGTGTTGAGGTGCTTATGATTATGCAAACATTAAAAGAATAGTGGTATAAGAAGTAGCTGGGGAACAAATTTGAGCCAGCATTTAGATTTACAGGCTCTAAACACCCCAATTTAAATTCTAAATGGCTGATACCTTCTCACTTCCAAAACAGTAGTGAATAATGTTTAAAAGTACTGCAAACAAGCTTGAAACATGATTCAGATTTAGTACAGTTATCTTGAGTTTTTTTTTTTTAATGCAAACAATTCATTTACTATTTCTTTGTTTTACTGCATCTGCATTAAGGCTTTGAATTATTTGACCCAAGATTTTACAATATTAAAATCTGACTCAAAATTTTACCATGTTAAAACAAATAGGTCCACAACCATACTACCTACTCTGTCTCAATGAGTCAGCATAGAGTTAAAGCTCAACACCTTAAGGAAATGGTAGCAGAGACATTTGCTAATATCTAAGAAGTTACATATATAGCTTTTAATTAAAGGATGTATAATAAAACAAACAGCTTAGTGGCAAGAAATTGGTGCTAATAAACCAAAGGTTTCTTTTCAAAAGAAATTGTAACATCTTTGGAAAACTGTCCGGTTCTTTAAGTTCCCACTTCCTTTAGTTCCCATGGAGTTCATGCAGATACATTTCTTAAGACAATCTTAAAGTACACTGGTGGATGGAAATGGAATGTACATCCAGAACTAGAGGTGAAAACTAAGACCTGGGTGCTGATAGAAAAATCTTCCTGATTTCGGTCGTCACACATTTGTGTCCTGGAGTAAAGGTTCTTTGGCCTCTCCTGGCGCTTGTGTACTATGAGGATGGCTGTGACTGCCACAGTGCTTTCTCCAACTGCTGGACCTTAAGCTTAAATTGGTATGTTCCGGAATAAACAAGGCAACAAGCAGAGCCAGCAGTACTGAACAGGCTCCAAATAGGAAGGGCGGGCCAGGGATGATGGAATTCTGAGGAAGAATAAAGTAATTAGGAATTTTACACAAGTACTTTTACTCATAAGGAGAAACTGCATAACTTTTAGTATTAATTTTTGAATTACAAGTTAATTGCTCTTTTTATTAAGGCCGTAATTATAAAAGACATTCCTCTTTTAGGAGAAAAGGATACTTTCATATTCTCTATAAAATTCTGGGGATAAGAACTGGCTAAATAGCCTTTGTGAAAATATTCTATCATTACTTTCAACACAAAATGTGAACACAGATGTTCTATGAGCCTTCACTTATTTTGTTAGTCCAAGGGGAAAACGTTTATTAAAAAGACCTCAAAAATAAAATCAGGCTGGGTGCGGTGGCTTAAGACCGTAATCCCAGCACTTTGGGAGGCTGAGGCAGGCAGATCACTTGAGGCCAGGAGTTTGAGACCAGCCTGGCCAACATAGTGAAACCTCATCTCTACTAAAAATAAAAAAAAATTTAGCCAGGTATGGTGGCATATGCCTGTAATCCCAGCTACTTGGGACGCTGATGAACAAGAATCACTTGAACTCGGGAGGCGGAGGTTGCAGTGAGCCAAGATTGTGCCACTGCACTTCAGCCTATGTGACAGTGAGAGACTGTCTCAAAAAGAAAACAAAAAAATCAGGCAGCATACAGTATTTACTACAGTAGCAGAATAAATTACCATTTCTTTGTTTCAAGAAGGTAATTATATTTTCAAGTGACTGAAAATGAGAAAAACACAGGTTACCAGGAAAAAATAGATCTTCGTTTTAGCCTAAAATTACATCATTCTTAGTAAAAGCTTGCACTTCTGGTTTTGTGTGCAAGCCCACATTCTTTTATTTAAAAGTAGTCTTAGTGGGTTGGAAGATTAGGCAGAACTCTGCTAAATAAACCAGGAAACTGATGAGCTGCTAATATTGGCTAAAATTATCAGCAGTGTTTAGCATTAATTTTCAGTTGAGAGGAGGGAGGTACAGGGAGCAAGTGAACAAAGGTATTTCCCAGCACATATCTGACTTTTCAAACAAAAGGCCGACTCAACATACCTAACTGTGATACTACAAAAGTTTCAAAAGAAAGACTAATAGTACAGAGAAATGGTTTGTTACATATGCCATTGACAAACTACGTATTTAAAATTTTTCATTCAAGTGGGAAAAAAAACCAGTTTCACAAGGTGATAGATAGAACACAACCCCTTAAACTATGGTTTTTAAAGATTTTATTCAATCTCAAATAGAATCTCACATAAAAGCTTTTGTGACTAAGAACTGGTATCTTAATCTAGTCAAATGAACTATATAATTTTATCATGTGGATGAGAATTACCTGTTCAAAGTGGTGCTGAGGGCTTGTGTTTGTTCCCAAGTCTGTTCCTGTTATTGGCAATTCTTTAAGTTCCACATGGAATATGTAGAAAATGAATCCATAGAGGGCCGGTCCCAGACCATTGCATAATCCTCGAATTCCTGTTATCATTCCTTGAACGACACCTATATTGTTTAAACAAATTACCACTTAGTAAAGTACCTATTTTTTCCCTACCCTAGAACCAGTACAAATACGAAATCACAATCTAAAATCCAGGTTATCAGACACTAGCAATTTATAGGAATGCCATTGAAAACTATTAATATGTAGAAGCTATCAGCTCTATAAAGTGTAATAAGCTGTCATATGCAAACATTAGCTCAGATGTATCCATATATGGTCTAACATAGAAACAAGTGGCCAAAAGCACTTTATTTCCCTAGATTATAGCCTTCAAAATATGGCTGGTTAAAAATCAGTCACAAGTACCAATGTTAAAAAAACTCTGTCCTCGAGCAACTACTTAAGACCCCTTTTAGTCAAAAATAAAGTGAGGTGTCACCCAGGCTGGAGTGCAGTGGTGCAAACCGGGCTCACTGCAGCCTCAACTTCCTGGTCTCCAATGATCCTCCTACCTCAGCCTCCCCCACTGTTGGAACTACAGGCTAATACGCCTA